GCCACCAGGGAGGGCCGTGGTTTTTCCCTTTCTAAATGAATTACTTAGTGGAGAAAAGCATGTGTGAGCCCCCAATGATGTTCAAGGTGAACAGAGGCCCTGAGAGGAAACATTCCGGACCTTCGCCCTTGGTCTTCCAGAAACCCCCTCTGGTGGCACAGACACCCCCTCCTGGGGCCTCGGGCTGCTGTCTGGGTGCACTTCCAGTCCCTCCAGTTTCAGGGAGCCCTGGTCTGCAAAGCTCAAATGGTGTTTGCATGAACAAACGTACTCCCGGGTCCTGCCCACTCATGAAGGACCCAGAGCATGGAGACGATGCATGCTGCACGTCCGGCAGCCGGCTCGCGCCAGACTGGGTCCCACAGGTCGCTCGCCTTTGCCCTCACACATGTTTAGCACCAGTGAGGCTCACCTCTGCCAACACGCCTGCTCACCTCTCACCATACCCTGCTCCAAGCACACAGCACACGTCCACGGGGCAGCTCCCCTTTTAGTACAGTCACGCACGGAACCCCCACCCCCGCCCCCGGGCTGGGCCACAGAGGCGCCGCTCACAGCAGCGCTGGGTAGACGGGGAACACATCAAGGATCTCACCTGATAGTGTATTTGTGCTCACTTGATGAGAAGTCCAGTTTTCACTGTTTGCACTTACCCCCATCTGTCCACAGTTTGAGCATTACGATAAAACCCTTGGGGGGGGGACCCCATTTGCAAGAAAAGAGCTGGAGGCGGGGCTGCAGGCTCAGTGGGTGGAGCCAGGCCAGCAGAGGGAGGGAAGGGGACCCCCACACCCACGGCCCTTCTGGAGGGAGCCCATGTCGGGCCCAGCCTGCAGGGCAGGGTACACCTGCCTTCCGAGTTCATCTGCCTTAGGAGTGAGTCGCATGGCATTGCTGGTGAGGCCCATTGTGACTCTGCAGATAGGGGCTGGGCCAGGCAGGCAGAGCTGTGGGGCCTCCTGGGGTGCCCTGTGAGCCAGGGGTCTCCTGACAGATTCTGCTGTAATTGAAGTGGGTGGTAGGTGTGTCATGTGACAGACGAGGATTAAGCGGCCCAGAGCCCCTCTGCGTGGGGGGGCCAATGACATGTTCCTGGCTTGTAGCTTTCCACCCGCAGGGCTCAAGCCAGCAAATGCCCCGGGCACCAAGGTCAAGGACAGAGAGCACCGCTGTGCTCATGCGAGAAGGCCCGAGGCCAGCTCCCCTTGCCTCAGTTGCCCTTCCTGCTCTCTGGAGATTAGGGAAAGTTAATAACAAGCTACCAGGGGCTCCCTGGAACCAAGGGAGGGAATTTGAAGAGTTGATGCTCAGGTTGTCGGTCAGACCCCGCCAGGCCTGGCTTTGAGGTGTGCCGGTGGCATAGCACCCTGCAGAATTTCTCCAGGCCCAGTCTACTGGGATGTTTTACCCCAAGAAGCCCACGCAGGGCTCTCTCCACCCTTGCCCTGCATGCCCGTGGCCCATGAGACAAGATCGCTGAGCAAGCACCATCATGGTCTTTCCTTCAAAGCCACTGGCATCTTCCCGCTGACCTTTGGGGCCCAGCAGAACTCTCCTTGAAGTTGGCGGGGGAAGTTTCTGTCTCCAGCCCTGGTTTCTGGAAACAGATCGGGAGTCAGGCCTTGCTCATCCTGCCTGTCGGCCATGCCAAAGTGCTGGGGCATCCATACGGGTTGGCATTTCCTTGGCGGTTCACGATTTGCTATTTCCTCTTCCTGGACCTTCACCTGCTCGACCACCCGCTTCCCTGGGAGCTGCTTCCAGTTCGAGCTAAGACAGCCCCCTCCTGGGCCACCCTGCTGCCTTACCACACCGCCACCCTGAGCCTCCGCTCCAGGCCCCCTGTCTAAGGTCAGAGCCCGTCCCTCACAGCCCCATGAAGACAAGACTGCCTCTTGCTCTTTGACGAAAACATGTGAATTTCATATAAAAGCTTTCAAAGACCTTTTGGCTAAAGTTTACACATATGCCTCCATACTGATACAGGCAGGAGGAACCCTAAACTGGCCAAGACCCCGCTGCCCAAATACTCTGCTGGTTACTGCCTGGGTTCTTCACCTGCACACAAAATTGTCAGACTGCTCAGGCTTAGAAAATAACAACAAAGGGATTTATTTAACAAACCAGGAAAAACACAAGTTACTGAGGCCAATAATGGCTGTTTACTTTACCAAAGTCGTGTCAGTGCTGTCCAGTCCTGCACAAAGACTGTCATGCTGGCGTCTTCCCGCCCCTGAGGGTGGGCAGCTCCTCTCCCAAATAGGCCCCGTGTCTCAGATGGCGTCTTCCTGCTGGTGTAGACACCAGCAGCCAGACACAGCCAAGGGCGTAGCAGGAGGTGCTCCTTGGGCCGCCAAAATGGCCCAGCACAGCAGCAGCAAACAGGTGCTCCTCAAGGCCGCAGGTGCAGCAGCCAAAGGACCCGGCAGATGGCCACACTCACGCCTGGCTCCGGTCTCCTACTTCTCCAGGCCACGCTTCAGCAAGATGCCTGTCTCGGGGGTCCTGTGTGCTCCAGGCCACACTTGAACAAAATGCCTGTTTCTGCGGGCTTCCCTTTCTCTGCCATGCCTAACAAAGTGTTTCAAAACAGCTCGGACAAGGCCGTGCACGTGGCCTCTCCACGTGGCCCGCACCACAAAGCCCAGCTCTGCAAAGCCCTCGCGGAGATGCTTGGGGCCGGCTACCTGCTACAGCCGCGGCTCGGCCTCCCTCTCTCCTGCACGGATCTTCTCTCTCACGTGTGTGCACAGCTCCCTTATATACTTTTTCTGTTGCTCCACCCTGCTTCTAGCACCGTTCCTGGACACTCCATTTTTTACCAGCAAACCCCTCCAGGGGACACCACCTGTAACCGTTTATGGTCTCAGCTACCAGGATCAACATCCACACATAAATATTATACACACACGACAATACGATTGTGTATAATGCTTATAATAACATACATCATGCATTTAGGTGAAGATACATGAAAGATAGATGCACATCTCACTATATGGTATAGGTGTATAAAATGCATATTTTTTCTAAAAAGAAGAAAGTTGGGTGGGGATGGGAATTCGTGTTTCATTCTAGGCACTTGCACAGAGGACGCAGCCTGGGTAGGAGCCGGGATCACAGCCCGCAGCTCTGGAAGCCGAGCCCAGGGCCCGAGGGCCTGGTCATCCTTGCTGCGTGGCTGAAGTCAGCTTTGCAGCTGGCCAAGGCTGGTCTCTGGGGAGAGGACAGCACCGCTGGGCAGGCAGGTGGGTCTCCCTGAGACAGGCTCAGGCTTGCTGGCACAGAGTCACTGCAGCCTTTCACCTTGCCATGTCCCTCCATGGGGAAAAACAAGCAGGGAAAACCTTCTGCTGCAAGAAAGGAGCGCCAGCCGCAGAAGGGGCGAGGGAGGAGCAAGCCTCACTCAACAGTGCTCTCCTTCCTCCAGGAAATAGTGAAAAGCCCAGAATTCATTCTTGGAGGGGCCACCAGGACTGATATCTGCCAGGGGGAGCTTGGTAAGTGGGGGGCAAAGGGGGGGGGTGCGGGCACACCCAGGCAGCAGGTGGTTGGCCAGACTGCTCGTGGGACAATGCGTGAGGTCTGTGAGCTGCCGTCAAGGCCCAAGAAGCACCGCACAGGTCCCCAGAAACTCACAGCACAGGGGTTGGGGGGACACTACTACCACCATCTTCTGCTCCTCTCTCCTTCCCAGCTGGCCACGAGCTTTGCTGAATGGAAGCCAGTGGGCTCCACATCCCTGGCACCCTGTTCCCCACTGGTTTTCAGAGAACAGAAAGACCCAGAGGCTCTGGTCTGACTGCTGGCTCCCATCAGGTGAACTCAGCCACCTGCGAGGCTCGCCCAAGCACGCGCTGCTTCAATCTTCCCAAACACTCTCCCAATTTTACAGATGAGGAACCCGAGATGAGGACAAAGTAAACTATCCGAAGTCCCAAACGTGAAAGATATGCAGAGGCAGGACTCCAAATTCCTCTTAACCACTCTGCCACACTGCCTCTGGGGTTTGTATTTTAAGGACCGCCTTCTCCCCTCCATCCCGGAGGAATCTGACAAAGACACTCTACTAGGAGCCTGAGCAGACCCCAAGTTACTAACAGCTGAGGCCACCATTGTGGTCTGAGGGTGAAAGAAGACATACTGGAAGCTTCATAGCAAGTGACAGTTACCTCACAGAGCCCAGAGGTGAAACCTGGAATGATGATCAATGACCGATGCATAGATAGACAGACAGACAGACAGATGAATCATGATGTATAGCTAGATGATAGAAGATAAACAGGTGATTGATAGAAAGGTAGACACATAGACAATGGACATAGAGACACAGACATAGTAGATACCTAGAATTATACACTCTAAATATAATCTTCACTTCAAAAAAATGTGTTCAGACTGGTCTTCATTTTCTGAGGCTTAGCACCCCTGGAGACTCTCCCTGTTCTCTTCAACATCTTGCTCTCAGTTGTCAATCCCATTCTTCTTCTACCTCCCCTCAGCTGTCCCTAGCTCCATCCCTTAGTGATACTTTCTTAGGGATTATCATTCACTAGAAAATCGTTGATGAGTCTCCTTTGTTTTTATCAAAGTTTTGCTTCGTCACTTTGGTATAAGCCTGTTTTGGAATTACAACCTTAGTTGGTAGTTGATTATAAATATAATTTTGTGGCACTTTTTCTATATCTGAATACTGTACATAGCATATAAGTGAAGGAGGGTCTCCCTGGTGGCCCAGGAGTTAAGTCTTAGCATTATCACTTCCGGGGCCTGTGTTCGATCCCCAGCCAAGGAGCTGACCCAAATGTCACAAGTGACCTCTCCTGTCTTATCCACTGCTCCCCTTAGCAGTGTATTTCAGTAGGTATATTGTTCTGCCCCCACTCTGTCTCTGGTGAACCCTCTCACCACCCCACATCTGGCCTGTACCCAAATTCTTCTATGCAAAAACAACAACAAACATGAATGAAAGACAATAATAAAATGGTCCGCTGTGAGCTGCTTCCCCCAAATAAGCACTTGACTAGCACTAACACTTCCTTGCACCTCCCTACCAGTGGCCATCTGCATGCTTTCATCTGACAAACTGACTTTTAGGGGCACCCTCACCCAGCAACATGCTGGAGGTGGCCAACCCTACCCATTGGCACAGACTCAACAGCAACAAAAAGTTTCATCTCTTCTGCATTGTTTTCCCTTGTTTTCAATTGTTTGAATTGAATAGATAACATTGGCTTCTAAATTTCTCTGTTCAAAAGCTGAGCACATTTCTGGCCAAATTGTCTCTGCAACAACCAAAAAAGTATTGTGTGGCAGTGTCCCAAGTCTAGTGGCCCACAGAAGTTTCCAGAAATGTCAACTCTAGGAAGCCACACTTGAGTTCTAATGAATTCGAGTGGCCTGATGGACTGTAAGCAAATAGAATTGGGGTAGAATGGGGAAGTGCTGGTGGCTACATAGGAAATTCTAAGTGTCTGCTCAGCCTTCTTTCATAGGTAGCATGCAGAACTCTGGGGTGTGCATCTGAGGCACCCACCCCATTCTCAGCATGAGCTCACATGAACACATGAACACACATGGAGGTCAGTGCAATGCAAGCTTAAAACACTGCTTGATGACTGCACTCATTGTTGTGTCTTCCCCTGAATGGAGGCTAACTTGAAGATTACAGCTGGAGAAATCAGATTAGTCTACAAATCTTGAAAACGCAAGATAAGTGAAAGTAGATGCCCGTGGAGCTATTATTACCCACAACTAAACCAAGTGTAGCCTAGGGAGGCATAGGCCCCAGAAAGGTGCTTCCTCGGCTCAACAGGGGACTAGTTCTGTGCTCGCCCAAGTGCTCCAGGCCGAGCAGGCGTGAGAGGTGACTCCCTGGCTCCGCTGACATTAACTCTTCCAGCCCCGGTCTACTGCCTGTCACAGAGCCGATGAGCAGTAGAGCACACGTGAGACCCACGTACCCATGATGCTGCCAGCACACGAGCTGTGGGTGGTGAGTGGGCAGAAGAGCTAAGAAGGGAGGCAGAGGGAGAGATTTGCTGGTAACCTTCCCATATTTCAAGATACAGAGAAAGACATGGCACACTGGGCATGGCCCATGTCACCTGAAGGCATAGAGGTGTCCTGTTTAGCACAAACCAGCAGTGAGAGTTGTAACAATGACTTTTCCTTACAGGCGACTGCTGGCTGTTAGCGGCCATTGCCTCCCTGACGCTTAACAAGAAAGCACTGGTGAGAGTGGTCCCCCACGACCAGAACTTTGGCTCTGATTATGCTGGGATCTTCCATTTCCAGGTAAGAGGGACAACGCTTGGTCAGTGATCTTACCTCCGCGTGCTCAGCGTGGTGTCAGGTGTTTCTGTGGCTGCTTGGCCATCCTGGGAGTTGGGGGCAGGAGGGCGATCCTACTTGTGTGGGAGCTGCACCTCAAGTCACTCTTTGTCATGAAGCAGCCACTAGGGACATCCTGTGAGGTCCTCTCATAAGGGACATGTTCAGGGACACAGACACAGGCTGAGCCAATGGAGCAGGGTGGAATCCTTGAGGTTGACAGTGGGTGCTGGGGTGGAATCCTTGAGGTGGACAGTGGACACTGTGGTGGAATCCTTGAGGTGGGCATTGGGGTGGGATCCTTGAGGTGGGCGCTGGGGTGGAATCCTTGAGGTGGACAGTGGACACTGAGGTGGAATCCTTGAGGTGGATGCTCAGGAGGCCCCAGCAAGGCTGGAAATAAATGGCTTCTGCTGACCTCTTCTCTTTGGTTGTCTCTTTCTTCTTACCTTGGGCTCTCTCGGGCCAGACGAATGAGAAGGAGCCACAGAGACACTGTCTGGCGAATGCATGTGGGGCCTGCCTACATCATGCACACACCAGCACATGCACACCATGTGCACGCAGTCCCGGGCACATGCGTGGGAAAGGACGCATGCACACCCCATCCCATCCGCCCCCCTTTGCACACTTGGCCCAGGTTTCAACCTGGCTCAGGACAGGGGTGCAGCCTCCCCCTCTTCCTCTGTGTAACTGGCCAAAAAGTCAGCCGTAGGAGCACAAGCTCCAGGCCAGGAGGGACACGGGGGAAGAAACACTTAAGACAAAACCTGTAGCTGGGTGGCGGAGAGGAGTAGAGAATAGAACGTGAATGTGCAGCGGCAAATCAAACCTTCCGAAAGAGAGCGGGTAAGAGGGCCCTAGAGTGTCCCCCCGGCTCTGATGGGGCTGCACAGAGCCTGGGAGCCACGCAGTGCAGGCAGGGTGCTCTGTCGTGGCTTCCTGCGCAAAGCACAGCAGAGCCCAACACAGACCCACGTGCAATTTTCCTCCAGATCAGAGGGGGAAAGCAAGGTGACACCTTGGACAAAGGGGGCTGGGCCTCCTGGGAGACGCAGCCCTGACCTTACCCCACCCCCACCCCTGACAGTTCTGGCAACACAGCGAGTGGCTGGACGTGGTGATTGATGACCGGCTGCCCACCTTCAGGGACCGCTTGATCTTCCTCCACTCAGCGGACCACAATGAGTTCTGGAGCGCCCTGCTGGAGAAAGCCTATGCCAAGTGAGTTGCCCAGCGCCCAGCCCCCTGTCCCAGGGAGGCCAGTCCCCCTCCCTGGAGCCTTTTCAGGGACCCTCTGTGGTGAGGGACCCTGAGGCGCTGGGACTATCTATTTGGGGCCACCTGCCTGGGGCCCAGTCAGGGTTGGAGGTGGGAGAGGAGAGGCTGCTACAGCTGCCCCTCAGGCCCAGGCGCGCCTGTCCTCACACACGGTGACGGCGACCCCTTCCTCTCTGCACGCCAGCCCGCCTTCACAGACGCTAAGGTGGAGGGGTGCATTCTGGCGGCTTCCCAGCACGCACAGCCAGGGCGGAAGATCACACAGAGTGTTGGCCAGTGGAGACTGAGATGCCGCCTCCCGCCTTCGGAATTCTCCTTTAAAAATAATGTTTAATTGTAAATTGATGGTCTTAACTATGTTTAACTGTATCATTCAACGCCTTTGAGTTCATTCACACTGTTAGGCAGCCGTCACCCACACAGCTTCACCAGACTCGACTCTGCACCATCCAGCACTACCACCCCACCCCCAGCCTGACCATCACCTGCGACTTTCTGTCTCTGGACTTGACTAACCGAGGAACGCTGGCCAGTAGAATCTAGAAAGTCATTTCTAATCACCATGGAGTGGCCAGACCTCCTCTGGTGTCAGAGTCCAGCTCTGACAAACAGGCAGTCAGGGGTCTTTTTCCTGAAGGGTGAGGCGTCCGGGGAAATGATCAGTTGAGGCAGACACTGGCACTCTAGCTGGTGCAAGTATCTCCTGCTGAACATCTCAGCGGGTCTTTATTTATGTGTTAAAGCCGGCAATGAGATGACATCAACAGAAGTATCAAAGCAAAGTAAAAATAATCATTACATATTTTTTCATAGTCACTTGGAGACGCCCGTGGCTTCATACTAGAAAGAAACTAATTTGATCATCTTAAGAAAAACATAAGAAATAATCAAGGCTTCTAAATGTCCCTACTTTCCCAGCAAAATCAATCACCTGGCACATTTGGTAATGTTGAACCACCTGACTAACTCCCTAACGTAGATTCTTATCCCTACATCCTATTGTTCTAAAAATCATTTGTTCCTAAGAATATCACTAATATATTGTCTTCCTTGAAGTTCTACTTTTACAACTTACCATTCTTATCTCACTCCTATAATCATCGTCTATCTTAGTCTGGTCTAAGCTAAGGGTATCTAACCACCATGTCACCTGCGAAGCATTGACCTTTAGAGCACACCAGAAATTCTACTTATGCCGCAAACACACCCCCTGGTGAGATTCCAGTCACCCGCCACAGTTAACAATTTTGTTTCCCATTGTCTTCAGGGCCACAATCTGTTTTTCCTAGCCTCGTGCAATGTTAATTCCTGTTATGTATTACCAGTTAATACCTTAACCCAAGTTAATTTAGACAGGCCACTCATATAACCGATTTTTGGCTATTATTAACCAAGAACAAATGAGGAAGCTTCAGCAGGCACTGCTGTGGAGAAGCCCATGGTTTCATCTTCTCTGGAGGTTTAGAAAACCCCTCATCTTCTCGGGAGTCCCCCCAATGCCTGGACCATGTCATAGACAGCATTGGTTGTGCGGCCTATGTCACCCTGGCACTGTCAAGCTTCAGCCCAGCAACTAGTCAGCCAAACCCCACGATAGCAGAGCCCCGGGGCTCAACCTGGATCTCTGAGCCATGGACATCTGTCCTCAGAGACAGGAAGCAGAGGTTGGCCATGTTTCTGCCTCCAAGTGGGTATATACGTGGCCAAATAAAGTGAAGGTCAACTAATCCTGCTATCAACAGGACAGGATTAAACCATGAAAGAACCAAAGGCTCCCCTTTGCCCACGGGCCCACCTCTATCTGTGTAAACACCTTCAGTGCCACTGACAGGCTGGGGTGGGCAGAGGGGACGCTTTCCAGTCACGGTGGGGCCACACAGCCCTTGGGCGAGTCCCACCCTCAGGAACCGGCCCTGTCTAAGGCCAGCTTCTCTGCTTGGAGCTGGGTTGGGCGTGGCTTCATTCTCCAAGAGTCCAGTCAAAGGAACCCCTCACCCCCAAACACCCAAGTTGTGCAAAAGACTGGAGTCAGTTAGTGAGATTTGGAACCTTGGCCTCAGGAAGAAGAGTAGAGTCTAGGTTTCTAAAGAAGATGGAAAATGAGTTCATAGAAAGATGTACAACATGATTTGTCATTAGGAAACTGTCAATGAAAACAACAGTGAACACTGCTACACACCTCGACATTGATGTAAAACTCATGCAGACTATACACACCTACACGGAGACATGCGTATAAAGTATGTGTACACATGCACAGCCCGTGTGTAGGTACGCGTGGGCAGACACCTGCAGACAAGCTGTGTGTGTGCAGTACATGTGTGGTTGTGTGACTGGTACCTGAGATCAAGAAGGAAAAGATCCTTAACCCTCTGTCTACACAAATAATCCCTTCTAGGTCAGGGGCTATGAGGAGAGGGAGACTCACTTAAATATCACAGCAGTCCTAGAAAGGAGAGTGCAAACATCCCCCTTCTTTGCAAATCATGGTTGTGAGTCCTGAGTGGGTTTGCACAAGAACACTCAGCTTGAAAGAAATGGGCCTGGCACTTGAACCCGCAGTCAGTCAGGGGCCAGTGTAACCCACACCAGGCTGCCTATCTCACAGAGACTGCTTGTGCCTTCAGAACATCAAGTAAACCCCAACTCTACTTCATTCACACCTTCCTTCCAGCCACCCAGCCAGGACAAGCCTTGGGAGTGGTGGCCCATTCAGTTAGAAAAACTCTGGCTAAGGGCGCCACCTGGTGGCCATCCTTACTCCCTGCAGTCGTTTCTAAACTGTGCCTTCACAGGTTAAATGGGAGCTATGAGGCTCTGAAGGGGGGCAGCACCATCGAGGCCATGGAAGACTTCACTGGGGGTGTAGCTGAGACCTTCACAACCAAAGAGGCGCCAGAGAACTTCTATGAGATTCTAGAGAAGGCCCTGAAGTGGGGCTCCCTGGTGGGCTGCTCCATCCATGTAAGTCGCCCACTGGCCTCTCCCGGCCTGCCCTGGGCCAGAGTCAGAGGTGTGAGCAGTGGGCTGAGCACACACAGGAGGGGGGCACTTCCGGGACTGGGGGTGTCAGCGTTTATTTATTTTAATCAAAGCAGAAGTTTCTATTTTGTGCCTTTCAAGTTACAAAGCTCAGACATCCTGGCTGTAGCAGGTAGAACAATCCCGACAAATTTCTCTCCCTTTCTCTACCCCTGGGGTGCTGTAGCCCCTTCTCAACTCTGTCCTTGCTCACACAACCAGGTACACACACTAAGGGACACAGAGCTAGGTTTGGTTTCATGAAGGAAATCCCACTGTTTTCTGAAACCTTTTTTTTTTTTTTTAAGATTATTTATTCATGCAGAACTGGAGTACAGGCTAGTGGTGCTGGGGGTGAGAGGATTCACCAGAGACAGAGTGGGGAGCAGAACAGGCAGATTGACAAAGTACACTGCTGAGGGGAGCAGCAGGCAGGCCAGAGGAGGTTTGCTGGGCCATGAGGGTCACCTCTGGGGCCAAAGATCGACCTCGCACTGAAACGGCTGCGGCTGGCTTGCAGTGCTGTGCTTTAACCCACTGTGCCACCAGGGAGGGCCCCTGAAAGCATTTTTATGTCATACATCATGAGAAATACGTCAGTAGATACCTAACAGTATTTTTTTCAAATTTCTTTATGTACATATACAGAGTTTTGCCTAATATAGCTGTGAAACTTATTCAAGTTTTCTAGAATTCTTGAGTGAACCTTGGAAATTTGTTCTTTGCTACTGGAACACCATTTCCTTGTGTTTGCAAGTTGGTGACACAGAGTTGGTTGTTACATTGGGCCCGTGTGAGGGGATGATCAAGTAGTTCTCTGGGGGACCAAAAAGTCAACTCTTTTCTTGGAGATGAGGGACTTCTGGGGAGAGTCTTGGAATGACTGATTGTCTCTGCTAGGAGGCGTCCTGTGGAACAGTTTGTAGGTCCCCTTCTTGGGGAGCACAGGGCTGGGTCTGGTCTGGTAGGGGAGTGACTTACATACTGGGCGCAATAGTGCTATTTTCATGTTTTAGGTCGGAAATACTGCAGAGTCTGAAGCCCGGACGCCTTCTGGTCTCATTAAGGGCCATGCCTACACCGTGACGGGAATTGATCAGGTGGGTGACATGAAGTACCGCTGATGGTGCAGGGACAGTCATGACAAGCTCATCCTTTTCCTTAGCGCACTGAAGCCTAAACTACTTTCAGGCATGTCAGAGACTGTATCATCTAGAGGAGGCAGCTAAGATTTAAAACAGCAAAACAGGGAAGAAAGCAACGTGTGTTTCCATCATAGCCCCCAATTTGTGCGGCAGGTATGGGAAACTGATCTCTGTTTTTCTTTTCTTCCCTAATTCCACAGCAAGACTGTGGTAGGGTTCTCTAGAGAAAAGGCTCATTAAAAAGGGTGGGGGGCAGATACACAGAGCTCAGCGCCTGGCTGGACAAAGACCGATGCAGATGTGCTTGCAAGAGGGGCTGAGGCTCGTCGCTGCTGCCGCCTCACAGCCAGGACTGCAGTGGCCCCTCAGTATCTGCGGGGATCGGTTTCGGGGAACGCTCCACCCCTATGGGTTCCAAAGTCCACAGATGCCCGAGTCCCTTAGAGTAGCTTCTCCATACCCAAGATTCGGCCAACAATGGAAGAGCCAGAGTTGGCTGGATCTGAACTTGAAGCTCTCTGATAGCATAAAAGCCAAGAAAGTGGACCAACTCGTTCACCTTCGTACTGTCTTTTCATCTGTTGTGTGATGTATATACGTAGACACCTGTGTGGGTGTGGGGGGGGAGCATATCTAGATATCTAGCTCCTGCTCTCTCTACATACATATGTATCATATGTGGCTCTCTCTGGATATATATCAAATTATATATATATATCAAATTATATATA